GGGAACATGCTTTGTACAGGGGAGGGGAGTGAGAAGGGAACATGCTTTGTCCATGGGAGTGGAGGGAGGACAGGATATGCTTTGTACAGGGGAGGGGAGGGAGGAGGGAACATACTTTGTACAGTGGAGGAGAGTTGAGGAAACATGCTTTGTAACAGGGGAGGGAGGAAGGAGGGAATATGCTTTATACAGGGGAGGGGAGGGAGGAGGATGGAACAATCTTTGTGCAGGGGAGGGGAGGGAGGAGGGAACATGCTTTGTACAGGGTGGAGGGAAGATGAGGGAACATGCTTTGTACAGGGGATGGGAGGGAACAGCAGGGATCATTCTTTGTACAGGGGATGGGAGGGAAGAGGAGGGACCATGCTTTGTACACGGGAGGGGAGGCACTAGGGAACATGCTTTGTACAGGAAAGGGGAGGGGGGAGGGAACATGCTTTCTACAGGGGAGGGGAGGGAGGATGGAACATGCTTTGTAGAATGGACGAGATTTGAGGAAAATTTCTCTGTACTGTAGATACAAGGGGAAGGTGTTACCGTGCTTTGAACAGCTACTTCCGTTTATTGTCAAACTAATATGTCCGCATAGACCCTTGCCAGACAGACAGCGGGGATTGTGCATCTTGGATGATGTCATCGAGCACTGTAGTCCATCTTCGTCTAAATATGCAGAGTATTTCTTACAGCCCATGCTGCAGTATGTGTGTGACAACAGTCAAGTGCTCCAGCAGGCGGCCACGTATGGCCTGGGTGTCATGGCGCAGTATGGTGGCGAGAACTACAGGCCTTTCTGCACAGAAGCCCTCCCCCTGCTGGTAAGAGTCATTCAGTCCACTGTTTCAGAGACCAAAGAAAACATCAATGCTAGAGAAAACTGTATTTCAGCATTCGGGACAATTATGAAGTTCAAGCCCGACTGTGTGAACGTGGAGGAGGTCCTGCCCCAATGGCTCTCTTGGATCCCACTGCACAAGGACAAGGAGGAAGCTGTCCAGACCTTCAGCTACCTGTGCGACCTGTTGGAGAGCAATCACCCCATCGTCATTGGCCCTAGCAATACCAGCCTGCCCAAGATATTCAGCATCATCGCAAGAGGGAGAAATGCATGAGGCCATTATACACGAAGACCCCTTGCAAACGCCTGGTTAACGTGGTTCGCCAAGTTCAGACTTCTGGAAGACTATGGACAGAGTGCGTGGGCCAGCTCAGCCCTGAGCAGCAGGACTCTATCCGGGAGCTCCTGAAGGCCGCTTGAAGGGCTTTATCCGCACAACCAGAAATTATTTCAAAATTAACGTTTTCCCTTTTGTTTAAAAAAAACAAGTATTGTACAGGGGAGGGAAGGCAGAAGGGAACATGCTTTGTACAGGGGAGGGGAGGGAGGAGGGAACATGCTTTGTACATGGGAGGGGAGGGAGGAGGGAACATGCTTTGTACAGGGCAGGAGAGGGAGGAGGAGGGAACATGCTTTGTACAGGGGAGGGGGGAAGGAGGGAATATGCTTTGTACAAGGGAGGGGAGGGAGGAGGGAACATGCTTTGTACAGTGGAGTAGAGGGAAGAGGTGGGAACATTCTTTGTACAGGGGAGGGGAGGGAGGTGGGAACATGCTTTGTACAGTGGAGGAGAGTTGAGGAAACATGCTTTGTACAGGGGAGGGAGGAAGGAGGGACTATGCTTTGTACAGGGGAGGGGAGGGAGGAGGATGGAACAATCTTTGTGCAGGGGAGGGGAGGGAGGAGGGAACATGCTTTGTACAGGGGGGGAGGGAAGATGAGGGAACATGCTTTGTACAGGGGAGCGGAGGGAACGGCAGGGAACATGCTTTGTACAGGGGATGGGAGGGAAGAGGAGGGAACATGCTTTGTACAGAGGAGGGGAGGGAAGAGGAGGGAACATGCTTTGTACACGGGAGGGGAGGCAGTTGGGAACATGCTTTGTACAGGGAAGGGGTGGGGGGAGGGAACATGCTTTGTACAGGGGAGGGGAGGGAGGAGGGAGCATGCTTTGTACAGAGGAGGGGAGGGAAGAGGAGGGAACATGCTTTGTACAGGGGAGTGGGGGGAAGAGGAGGGAACATGCTTTGTACAGGGGAGGGGAGGCAGGATGGAACATGCTTTGTAGAATGGACGAGATTTGAGGAAAATTTCTCTGTATAGTACATACAAGGAGAAGGTGTTACCGTGCTTTGAACAGCTACTTCCGTTTATTGTCAAACTAATATATCCGCATAGACCCTGCAAGACAGACAGCGGGGATTGTGCATCTTGGATGATGTCATCGAGCACTGTAGTCCATCTTCGTCTAAATATGCAGAGTATTTCTTACAGCCGATGCTGCAGTATGTGTGTGACAACAGTCAAGTGCTCCAGCAGGCGGCCACGTATGGCCTGGGTGTCATGGCGCAGTATGGTGGCGAGAACTACAGGCCTTTCTGCACAGAAGCCCTCCCGCTGCTGGTAAGAGTCATTCAGTCCACTGTTTCGGTGACCAAAGAAAACATCAATGCTAGAGAAAACTGTATTTCAGCATTCGGGACAATTATGAAGTTCAAGCCCGACTGTGTGAACGTGGAGGAGGTCCTGCCCCAATGACTCTCTTGGATCCCGCTGCAGGAGGACTAGGAGGAAGCTGTCCAGAACTTCAGCTACCTGTGCGACCTCTTGGAGGTCAATCACCCCATCGTCATTGGCCCTAGCAATACCAGCCTGCCCAAGATATTCAGCATCATCGCAAGAGGGAGAAATGCATGAGGCCATTAAACACGAAGACCCCTTGCAAACGCCTGGTTAACGTGGTTCGCCAAGTTCAGACTTCTGGAAGACTATGGACAGAGTGCGTGGGCCAGCTCAGCCCAGAGCAGCAGGACGCTATCCGGGAGCTCCTGAAGGCCGCTTGAAGGGCTTTATCCGCACAACCAGAAATTATTTCAAAATTAACGTTTTCCCTTTTGTTTAAAAAAAAAAGTATTGTACAGGGGAGGGAAGGAAGAAGGGAACATGCTTTGTACAGGGGAGGGGAGGGAGGAGGGAACATGCTTTGTACATGGGAGGGGAGGGAGGAGGGAACATGCTTTGTACAGGGCAGGAGAGGGAGGAGGAGGGAACATGCTTTGTACAGGGGAGGGGGGAAGGAGGGAATATGCTTTGTACAAGGGAGGGGAGGGAGGAGGGAACATGCTTTGTACAGGGCAGGAGAGGGAGGAGGAGGGAACATGCTTTGTACAGGGGAGGGGAGGGAAGCAGAGGGAACATGCTTTATAAAAGGGAGGGGAGGGAAGAGGAGGGATCATCCTTTGTACAAGGGAGGGGAGGGAGGAGGTAACATGCTTTGTACAGTGGAGGGGAGGGAGGAGGGAGCATGCTTTGTCCATGGGAGAGGAGGGAGGACAGGAAATGCTTTGTAGAGTGGAGGGGTGGGAAGAGGGAACATGCTTTGTACAGTGGAGTAGAGGGAAGAGGTGGGAACATTCTTTGTACAGGGGAGGGGAGGGAGGTGGGAACATGCTTTGTACAGTGGAGGAGAGTTGAGGAAACATGCTTTGTACAGGGGAGGGAGGAAGGAGGGACTATGCTTTGTACAGGGGAGGGGAGGGAGGAGGATGGAACAATCTTTGTGCAGGGGAGGGGAGGGAGGAGGGAACATGCTTTGTACAGGGGGGGAGGGAAGATGAGGGAACATGCTTTGTACAGGGGAGCGGAGGGAACGGCAGGGAACATGCTTTGTACAGGGGATGGGAGGGAAGAGGAGGGAACATGCTTTGTACACGGGAGGGGAGGCAGTTGGGAACATGCTTTGTACAGGGAAGGGGTGGGGGGAGGGAACATGCTTTGTACAGGGGAGGGGAGGGAGGAGGGAGCATGCTTTGTACAGAGGAGGGGAGGGAAGAGGAGGGAACATGCTTTGTACAGGGGAGTGGGGGGAAGAGGAGGGAACATGCTTTGTACAGGGGAGGGGAGGCAGGATGGAACATGCTTTGTAGAATGGACGAGATTTGAGGAAAATTTCTCTGTATAGTACATACAAGGAGAAGGTGTTACCGTGCTTTGAACAGCTACTTCCGTTTATTGTCAAACTAATATATCCGCATAGACCCTGCAAGACAGACAGCGGGGATTGTGCATCTTGGATGATGTCATCGAGCACTGTAGTCCATCTTCGTCTAAATATGCAGAGTATTTCTTACAGCCGATGCTGCAGTATGTGTGTGACAACAGTCAAGTGCTCCAGCAGGCGGCCACGTATGGCCTGGGTGTCATGGCGCAGTATGGTGGCGAGAACTACAGGCCTTTCTGCACAGAAGCCCTCCCGCTGCTGGTAAGAGTCATTCAGTCCACTGTTTCGGTGACCAAAGAAAACATCAATGCTAGAGAAAACTGTAATTCAGCATTCGGGACAATTATGAAGTTCAAGCCCGACTGTGTGAACGTGGAGGAGGTCCTGCCCCAATGGCTCTCTTGGATCCCGCTGAACAAGGACAAGGAGGAAGCTTTCCAGACCTTCAGCTACCTGTGCGACCTGTTGGAGGTCAATCACCCCATCGTCATTGGCCCTAGCAATACCAACCTGCCCAAGATATTCAGCATCATCGCAGAGGGAGAAATGCATGAGGCCATTAAACACGAAGACCCCTTGCAAACGCCTGGTTAACGTGGTTCGCCAAGTTCAGACTTCTGGAAGACTATGGACAGAGTGCCTGGGCCAGCTCAGCCCCGAGCAGCAGGACGCTATCCGGGAGCTCCTGAAGTCCGCTTGAAGGGCTTTATCCGCACCACCAGAAATTATTTCAAAATTAACATTTTCCCTTTTGTTTAAAAAAAACATGTATTGTACAGGGGAGGGAAGGCAGAAGGGAACATGCTTTGTACAGGGGAGGGGAGGGAGGAGGGAACATGCTTTGTACAAGGGAGGGGAGGGAGGAGGGAACATGCTTTGTACAGGGCAGGAGAGGGAGGAGGAGGGAACATGCTTTGTACAGGGGGGGAGGGAAGATGAGGGAACATGCTTTGTACAGGGGAGCGGAGGGAACGGCAGGGAACATGCTTTGTACAGGGGATGGGAGGGAAGAGGAGGGAACATGCTTTGTACACGGGAGGGGAGGCAGTTGGGAACATGCTTTGTACAGGGAAGGGGTGGGGGGAGGGAACATGCTTTGTACAGGGGAGGGGAGAGGAGGGAGCATGCTTTGTACAGAGGAGGGGAGGGAAGAGGAGGGAACATGCTTTGTACAGGGCAGGAGAGGGAGGAGGAGGGAACATGCTTTGTACAGGGGAGGGGAGGGAGGATGGAACATGCTTTGTAGAATGGACGAGATTTGAGGAAAATTTCTCTGTACAGTAGATACAAGGAGAAGGTGTTACCGTGCTTTGAACAGCTACTTCCGTTTATTGTCAAACTAATATGTCCGCATAGACCCTGGCCAGACAGACAGCGGGGATTGTGCATCTTGGATGATGTCATCAAGCACTGTAGTCCATCTTCGTCTAAATATGCAGAGTATTTCTTACATCCGATGCTGCAGTATGTGTGTGACAACAGCCAGGAGGTCCAGCAGGCGGCCGCGTATGGCCTCGGTGTCATGGCGCAGTATGGTGGCGAGAACTACAGGCCTTTCTGCACAGAAGCCCTCCCGCTGCTGGTAAGAGTCATTCAGTCCACTGTTTCAGAGACCAAAGAAAACATCAATGCTAGAGAAAACTGTATTTCAGCATTCGGGACAATTATGAAGTTCAAGCCCGACTGTGTGAACGTGGAGAAGGTCCTGCCCCAATGGTTCTCTTGGATCCAGCTGCACGAGGACAAGGAGGAAGCTTTCCAGACCTTCAGCTACCTGTGCGACCTCTTGGAGGTCAATCACCCCATCGTCATTGGCCCTAGCAATACCAACCTGCCCAAGATATTCAGCATCATCGCAGAGCAGAGGGAGATTGAGGAAACATGCTTTGTACAGGGGAGGGAGGAAGGAGGGAATATGCTTTGTACAGGGGAGGGGAGGGAGGAGGATGGAACAATCTTTGTGCAGGGGAGGGGAGGGAGGAGGGAACATGCTTTGTACAGTGGAGGGGAGTGAGGAGGGAGCATGCTTTGTCCATGGGAGTGGAGGGAGGACAGGAAATGCTTTGTAGAGTGGAGGGGTGGGAAGAGGGAACATGCTTTGTACAGTGGAGTGGAGGGAAGAGGAGGGAACATTCTTTGTCAGAGGAGGGGAGGGAGGAGGGAACATGCTTTGTACAGTGGAGGAGAGTTGAGGAAACATGCTTTGTACAGGGGAGGGAGGAAGGAGGGACTATGCTTTGTACAGGGGAGGGGAGGGAGGAGGATGGAACAATCTTTGTGCAGGGGAGGGGAGGGAGGAGGGAACATGTTTTGTACAGGGGGGGAGGGAAGATGAGGGAACATGCTTTGTACAGGGGATGGGAGGGAAGAGGAGGGAACATGCTTTGTACAGGGGATGGGAGGGAAGAGGAGGGAACATGCTTTGTACACGGGAGCGAAGGCAGTTGGGAATATGCTTTGTACAGGAAAGGGGAGGGGGGAGGGAACATGCTTTCTACAGGGGAGGGGAGGGAGGAGGGAACATGCTTTGTACAGGGGAGGGGAGGCAGGATGGAACATGCTTTGTAGAATGGACGAGATTTGAGGAAAATTTCTCTGTACAGTAGATACAAGGAGAAGGTGTTACCGTGCTTTGAACAGCTACTTCCGTTTATTGTCAAACTAATATGTCCGCATAGACCCTGGCCAGACAGAGAGCGGGGATTGTGCATCTTGGATGATGTCATCGAGCACTGTAGTCCATCATCGTCTAAATATGCAGAGTATTTCTTACAGCCGATGCTGCAGTATGTGTGTGACAACAGTCAAGTGGTCCAGCAGGCGGCCACGTATGGCCTGGGTGTCATGGCGCAGTATGGTGGCGAGAACTACAGGCCTTTCTGCACAGAAGCCCTCCTGCTGCTGGTAAGAGTCATTCAGTCCACTGTTTCAGAGACCAAAGAAAACATCAATGCTAGAGAAAACTGTATTTCAGCATTCGGGACAATTGTGAAGTTCAAGCCCGACTGTGTGAACGTGGAGGAGGTCCTGCCCCAATGGCTCTCTTGGATCCCGCTGCACAAGGACAAGGAGGAAGCTGTCCAGACCTTCAGCTACCTGTGCAACCTGTTGGAGAGCAATCACCCCATAGTCATTGGCCCTAGCAATACCAACCTGCCCAAGATATTCAGCATCATCGCAAGAGGGAGAAATGCATGAGGCCATTAAACACGAAGACCCCTTGCAAATGCCTGGTTAAAGTGGTTTGCCAAGTTCAGACTTCTGTAGGAGTATGGACAGAGTGCGTAGGCCAGTTCAGCCCTGAGGAGCAGGTGGATATCCTGGAGCTCCTGACTTGGCTTGAAGGGCCTTAACCGCACCACCGAAAACTAATTCCAAAATAACTTTTACCCTTTTGTTGAAAAAAAAAACATGCATTGTACAGGGGAGGGAAGGGAGGAGGGAACATGCTTTGTACAAGGGAAAGGAGGGTGGAGGGAACTAGCTTTGAACAGTGGAGGGATGGAGGAGCAAACATGGTTTGTAAAGGGGAGGGGAGGGGAGGAGGGAGCATGCTTTGTACAGGGTGGGGGAGTGAGAAGGTTACATGCCCATGGGAGTGGAGGGAGGAGGGAACATGCTTTGTACAGTGGAAGGGAGGGAGGAGGGTACATGCTTTGTACAGGGGAGGGGTGGGAAGAGGAGGGATCATCCTTTGTACAAGGGAGGGGAGGGAGGAGGTAACATGCTTTGTACAGTGGATGGGAGGGAGGAGGGAACATGCTTTGTAGAGGGGAGGGGAGGGAAGCAGAGGGAACATGCTTTGTACAGGGGAGGGGAGGGAAGAGGAGGGATCATCCTTTGTACAAGGGAGGGGAGGGAGGAGGTAACATGCTTTGTACAGTGGAGGGGAGGGAGGAGGGAGCATGCTTTGTCCATGGGAGTGGAGGGAGGACAGGAAATGCTTTGTACAATGGAGGGGTGGGAAGAGGGAACATGCTTTGTACAGGGGAGTGGAGGGAAGTGGAGGGAACATTCTTTGTACAGGGGAGGGGAGGGAGAAGGGAACATGCTTTGTACAGTGGAGGAGAGTTGAGGAAACATGTTTTGTACAGGGGAGGGAGGAAGGAGGGAATATGATTTGTACAGGGGAGGGGAGGGAGGAGGATGGAACAATCTTTGTGCAGGGGAGGGGAGGGAGGAGGGAACATGCTTTGTACAGGAGGGGGAAGATGAGGGAACATGCTTTGTACAGGGGATGGGAGGGAAGAGGAGGGAACATGCTTTGTACAGGGGATGGGAGGGAAGAGGAGGGAACATGCTTTGTACACGGGAGGGGAGGCAGTTGGGAATATGCTTTGTACAGGAAAGGGGAGGGGGGAGGGAACATGCTTTCTACAGGGGAGGGGAGGGAGGAGGGAACATGCTTTGTACAGGGGAGGGGAGGGAAGAGGAGGGAACATGCTTTGTACAGGGGAGTGGAGGGAAGAGGAGGGAACATGCATTGTACAGGGGAGGGGAGGGAGGATGGAACATGCTTTGTAGAATGGACGAGATTTGAGGAAAATTTCTCTGTACAGTAGATACAAGGAGAAGGTGTTACCGTGCTTTGAACAGCTACTTCCGTTTATTGTCAAACTAATATGTCCGCATAGACCCTGGCCAGACAAACAGTGGGGATTGTGCATCTTGGATGATGTCATCGAGCACTGTAGTCCATCTTCGTCTAAATATGCAGAGTATTTCTTACAGCCGATGCTGCAGTATGTGTGTGACAACAGCCAGGAGGTCCAGCAGGCGGCCACGTATGGCCTGGGTGTCATAGAGCAGTATGGTGGCGAGAACTACAGGCCTTTCTGCACAGAAGCCCTCCCGCTGCTGGTAAGAGCCATTCAGTCCACTGTTTCAGAGACCAAAGGAAACATCAATGCTAGAGAAAACTGTATTTCAGCATTCGGGACAATTATGAAGTTCAAGCCCGACTGTGTGAACGTGTAGGAGGTCCTGCCCCAATGGCTCTCTTGGACCCCGCTGCAGGAGGACTAGGAGGAAGCTTTCCAGATCTTCAGCTACCTGTGCGACCTGTTGGAGGTCAATCACCCCATGGTCACTGGCCCTAGCAATACCAGCCTGCCCAAGATATTCAGCATCATCGCAAGAGGGAGAAATGCATGAGGCCATTAAACAGGAAGACCCCTTGCAAACGCCTGGTGAACGTGGTTCGCCAAGTTCAGACTTCTGGAAGACTATGGACAGAGTGCGTGGGCCAGCTCAGCCCCGAGCAGCAGGACTCTATCCGGGAGCTCCTGAAGTCCGCTTGAAGGGCTTTCTCCGCACCACCAGAAATTATTTCAAAATTAATGTTTTCCCTTTTGTTTAAAAAAAACAAGTATTGTACAGGGGAGGGAAGGCAGAAGGGAACATGCTTTGTACAGGGAAGGGGAGGGAGGAGGGGACATGCTTTGTACAGGGAGGGGAGGGAGGAGGGAACATGCTTTGTACAGGGCAGGAGAGGGAGTAGGAGGGAACATGCTTTGTACAGGGGAGGGGGGAAGGAGGGAATATGCTTTGTACAAGGGAGGGGAGGGAGGAGGTAACATGCTTTGTACAGTGGATGGGAGGGAGGAGGGAACATGCTTTGTACAGGGGAGGGAAGGCAGAAGGGAACATGCTTTGTACAGGGGAGGGGAGGGAGGAGGGAATATGCTTTGTACAAGGGAGGGGAGGGAGGAGGGAACATGCTTTGTACAGGGTAGGAGAGGGAGGAGGAGGGAACATGCTTTGTACAGGGGAGGGGGGAAGGAGGGAATATGCTTTGTACAAGGGAGGGGAGGGAGGAGGTAACATGCTTTGTACAGTGGATGGGAGGGAGGAGGGAACATGCTTTGTACAGGGGAGGGGAGGGAAGCAGAGGGAACATGCTTTGTATAAGGGAGGGGAGGGAAGAGGAGGGATCATCCTTTGTACAAGGGAGGGGAGGGAGGAGGTAACATGCTTTGTAAAGTGGAGGGGAGGGAGGAGGGAGCATGCTTTGTCCATGGAAGTGGAGGAAGGACAGGAAATGCTTTGTAGAGTGGAGGGGTGGGAAGAGGGAACATGCTTTGTACAGTGGAGTAGAGGGAAGAGGAGGGAACATTCTTTGTACAGGGGAGGGGAGGGAGGAGGGAACATGCTTTGTACAGTGGAGGAGAGTTGAGGAAACATGCTTTGTACAGGGGAGGGAGGAAGGAGGGACTATGCTTTGTACAGGGGAGGGGAGGGAGGAGGATGGAACAATCTTTGTGCAGGGGAGGGGAGGGAGGAGGGAACATGCTTTGTACAGGGGGGGAGGGAAGATGAGGGAACATGCTTTGTACAGGGGAGCGGAGGGAACAGCAGGGAACATGCTTTGTACAGGGGATGGGAGGGAAGAGGAGGGAACATGCTTTGTACACGGGAGGGGAGGCAGTTGGGAACATGCTTTGTACAGGGAAGGGGTGGGGGGAGGGAACATGCTTTGTACTGGGGAGGGGAGGGAGGAGGGAGCATGCTTTGTACAGAGGAGGGGAGGGAAGAGGAGGGAACATGCTTTGTACAGGGGAGTGGGGGGAAGAGGAGGGAACATGCTTTGTACAGGGGAGGGGAGGGAGGATGGAACATGCTTTGTAGAATGGACGAGATTTGAGGAAAATTTCTCTGTACAGTAGATACAAGGAGAAGGTGTTACCGTGCTTTGAACAGCTACTTCCGTTTATTGTCAAACTAATATGTCCGCATAGACCCTGGCCAGACAGACAGCGGGGATTGTGCATCTTGGATGATGTCATCAAGCACTGTAGTCCATCTTCGTCTAAATATGCAGAGTGTATCTTACAGCCGATGCTGCAGTATGTGTGTGACAACAGCCAGGAGGTCCAGCAGGCGTCCGCGTATGGCCTGCGTGTCATGGCGCAGTATGGTGGCGAGAACTACAGGCCTTTCTGCACAGAAGCCCTCCCGCTGCTGGTAAGAGTCATTCAGTCCACTGTTTCAGAGACCAAAGAAAACATCAATGCTAGAGAAAACTGTATTTCAGCATTCGGGACAATTATGAAGTTCAAGCCCGACTGTGTGAACGTGGAGAAGGTCCTGCCCCAATGGTTCTCTTGGATCCAGCTGCACGAGGACAAGGAGGAAGCTTTCCAGACCTTCAGCTACCTGTGCGACCTCTTGGAGGTCAATCACCCCATCGTCATTGGCCCTAGCAATACCAACCTGCCCAAGATATTCAGCATCATCTCAGAGGGAGATTGACGAAACATGCTTTGTACAGGGGAGGGTGGAAGGAGGGAACATGCTTTGTACAGGGGAGGGGAGGGAGGAGGATGGAACAATTTTTGTGCAGGGGAGGGGAGGGAGGAGGGAACATGCTTTGTACAGTGGAGGGGAGGGAAGAGGAGGGAACATTCTTTGTACAGGGGAGGGGAGGTAGGAGGGAACATGCTTTGTACAGTGAAGGAGAGTTGAGGAAACATGCTTTGTACAGGGGAGGGAGGAAGGAGGATGGAACAATCTTTGTGCAGGGGAGGGGAGGGAGGAGGATGGAACAATCTTTGTGCAGGGGAGGGGAGGGAGGAGGGAACATGCTTTGTACAGGGGGGGAAGGAAGATGAGGGAACATGCTTTGTACAGGGGATGGGAGGGAAGAGGAGGGAACATGCTTTGTACAGGGGATGGGAGGGAAGAGGAGGGAACATGCTTTGTACACGGGAGGGGAGGCATTTGGGAATATGCTTTGTACAGGAAAGGGGAGGGGGGAGGGAACATGCTTTCTACAGGGGAGGGGAGGGAGGAGGGAACATGCTTTGTACAGGGGAGGGGAGGTAAGAGGAGGGAACATGCATTGTACAGGGGAGGGGAGGGAGGATGGAACATGCTTTGTAGAATGGACGAGATTTGAGGAAAATTTCTCTGTACAGTAGATACAAGGAGAAGGTGTTACCGTGCTTTGAACAGCTACTTCCGTTTATTGTCAAACTAATATGTCCGCATAGACCCTGGCCAGACAGACAGCGGGGATTGTGCATCTTGGATGATGTCATCGAGCACTGTAGTCCATCTTCGTCTAAATATGCAGAGTATTTCTTACAGCGGATGCTGCAGTATGTGTGTGACAACAGCCAGGAGGTCCAGCAGGCGGCCGCGTATGGCCTGGGTGTCATAGAGCAGTATGGTGGCGAGAACTACAGGCCTTTCTGCACAGAAGCCCTCCCCCTGCTGGTAAGAGTCATTCAGTCCACTGTTTCAGAGACCAAAGTAAACATCAATGCTAGAGAAAACTGTATTTCAGCATTCGGGACAATTATGAAGTTCAAGCCCGACTGTGTGAACGTGGAAAAGGTCCTGCCCCAATGGT